TGTATTACACACACACATCCCATCATCTACACTTTTTACACAATTATAAACAACCCTGTACACATTTTTTGTCACATTATAAATGTATTGCACTTAAGTATTCATATTTATAAATATCTTTATATCTAAATATCTTTAACATATCAATTAGCCTAACGATAGTTTAAATTGCACTAATTGCAGTAATCACTTATGCTACTTATATTGTATACATCTTTAGCTGTATCCGTGGCAGTGGAAAGGGTATGCACTACATCTTCTATTTGGTCTACTCCCATTACAATCTGCCTTCGGACACGACCTCCCCGTGAGGAATTTCGTAATTTGGAGAGATCTGATTTATTCATTACCTCCACTGGTCCACGCGTTTGGCCCTTAACAGGCTGCAGGTGCATATTTTATTATTACTTTTATTATATATTCGTTGATTGCGTTTATCATATTCTGCTTTTTTGGATATCTATCGTGTATGGGCACCTTTGTCTTTTTTTAATGTCGTGTCTTATATGTAATTATATTTACAATGTGATATGTATCAATGTAATTATTGACTTGCCATATATCGATCAGTTCTTTCTAGGATCAGTATCCCCCTGAGGAAGCCTTAAGGCTAAAACCGTTGGGGCATCCAGGAAAGAATGGCTTCTGGTGTGTGTGTGTGTAGTATATATATATACACACACACACACACACAGAGAAATAGATTAGCAAATACATGTGGTTCTCTTTACCATTACTCTTAATCCTACCAATAATCTAGACTATCAATTGTGCTGATAGCCAGGAGATTGTATTCTGTAGACACACCATGGCTTTTGCACTACAAAACCCTAGGCTTCCTGCCCACTGTGGAACACAGTAAAATGTCACTAAAGTAGCAGCGAAGTCAGCTGTGCCATTTACCAGAGAGGTGTAAAATGATTTTACAAGATTTGGTAGGGCAACAATTCATCCATAACTCAAAACCTCAGAATGAAACAAATATACCTTTGCTACAATGAGCAGTGACTCACCCGCTGGCCCTTTATACTGAGGACATTCTTTCTTGATGTGACCCTCCCGTCCACAAATGAAGCACCGTTTCTCTCTAAGCTCTCGGTCTTCTGGTCTTTTCCACTTTTCAGAGCCAGATCTAGGTGTCCTATCTTTGCAGGGCTCATTGTTGCTCCATGGTCCTTGTTGCGCTTTTCTTGGAGTGGTATGTAGCTCTCTTCCATCCACGCTCACACCACCTCCCTGCATATTCATTTCTTTGTCCTCAATTTTTCTTTGCGGTCTCTTGTCTGGGTATCTTTGGTTTGAGGCATTTTCATGATTGCGCCTTCTTGCTCTAAGTGTGGGAAGTTAGGATTAAATATAAACGTCAAAGACCATCCAAAATTAAAATGTACTATATTGCAGCTTAGCAGTCCTTAGATGTGGTAGCTGCATTAGTATGCATTATTTCAGCAAGTACAGAAATATCTGGTGATCTTGCCAGAAATGCAGTGTCTGTCTCACTTTGTGTGAGAAAGTGAAAGCGCAAACAAATGTATCTTTGTTTCAAGTGTGGGTTACAAACCTCCCTGTCCCCCATGTAATTGAGATGGAGAGGAAGACAGGTTTGCAGTCCACGTTGGGACAGCAGGTTGGGTGACAAGAAAAGACTACCTTCATATACACAGAGCGAGTGAGTGTAGCCACCCAGGAAAGGAGGAGAAAGGAGGAGGAGAAAGGAGGAGGAGGAGAAAGTAGAGGAGGAGAAAGGAGGAGGAGGAGGAGAAAGGAGAGGAGAAAGGAGGAGGAGGAGAAAATAATGCAGCCACCACATCTAAGGACTGGTAAGCGATCACATTTTTGTTTTAGACAGTCATTAATTTGTTCATATATCAAGGTTAAAGAAATGTAACTTTTTTTCCTCCGTTTAAGTATACATTTATCCCCACAAACACTATTAGGCTTATTCAGTAAGGCAAAGTGCCCCAACTGTAGAAACTACTTAAAATGTCATATTTTATTAGTCTGGCTATGGTAAACAAACTGGTGTCCACTGCACTTTACAATGTAATTGCTCTAACACGCACACGAATATTAGTTAATTTTAAAAGCAACCAATTCAAAATGCACATTAACTATCCCACTATGCAAGCACAGTTGAACAAATTGTGGCTTACTTTCTTCTCATAGGGCAATCTTTCATAAAGTGTCCAATTTTGCCACAAATGCGACAACATCTGTCATTAGGAGCAAGTTCACCTTCGGTCAGTACATCTGGATCAAAGAAATACTCCTATGGAAAAGAAAACACTATTTAGACACACTCCGTATTCAAAAAAACACAAACACATTTATGGATGCTATCCTGGAGAATAGGTTTGGCATCTACAACCAACTCTAAATGCATCGCTCATTTTGAAGGCTTCCGGCTGGTTTCAAAACATGGGGCCTACTTTGAAGGCAACTGCTCAGAGCTGACATGTCCAAGCTCTTTGGCACCACATTTAGTTTTAAGCCATAGAAGACACACTGTGCTCCACAAGGCTTGGGTACCTTTTTGTCTTCAGAACCATACTGTTGCAAAAAAATAACAGCTGTGACGGTAAGTCTTCAACAATCCAACCACCTTGAGCTACCATGATAACAAGATAAGTGATGGGGTAGAACTACAGTCTTTTGCACCCCCATCAAAATTTACACTGCAAACATTGATTACTAGACTTTTTCTTGCTTATTTATATACGTATAGGAAAAAAGCTTTAAGATCAGATAAATAATACATGCATGTGACTTAGAGCGCTAAATTTACATCTGTGACCAAAAAACAAAAATCTGCTTGTAAAGCTGAAGTTTAATCCACTTATATTTTGCACCTTCCATGTTCCTCTTTCCCTTTTAATCAACATGCTAATGAAATTTTAACACCTATATTAGGCCATCACTGGGTCTCTGTAAGCAGATAGAGATCATGGTGGCTGGTGGGAGGGGACACCAGGGTGCTGTATAAAGCTACCTGAAAACATCAAAAGCACCTTATCCCCTTAAATTCAAGAGCCCACAGCCCTGAATCAAGTAGTGGGCGTCAGTCTGGAGGAGTGGCATTCCTAGGCAGACTACATACCTTAGGTATTGCCAACATCGGATGCTGAACCTTTATGATTTTAAAGAACCTAGATCTGAATAAATGAAAGGGGCAGGCTATGTGGGGGGGGGAGGAAAGGGCTAAAAAAACGCCAAAAATGTCCTCAAGCTAGGCAGCCGAGGCAAGCTTTGACTTATGTACATTGTGATAAGCTCGAAGTGTACACTGAAATTAAAGTAAGCGATTTCAGTACAAGAGAGGAGCCTGTACAACTACACAAGACTGAAAGTAGAGCAGGACATGAGGATGAATCCATGTAAATGTATACAGATTATTAGACATGTCGGCAGGTATGAACGTGTACACGAGAAATGGCTAAACTATGGAAACAAGAACTTAAACAGTTGCTCTGTACAAAAAAAAAAAAATATGGATCAATGGTTTTGGGAGCAAAACATTCCTACATAAAAAGCAGTTCAAGGTCTGTTGTCAATAGTAATCTGTAGAGAAGTTCAAAATAGTTTTCCTCCAGTCCGTGGGGGTGGGGATGTAAAGAAATTATTCAATGACCTAGTTGATAAATCAGCTGTAGTTGACAACTTCACCCTCTAACCAGATTTTGCTGAATTTGGCCGGGGAGTTCAGCTTTCAGGTTAAAAGGGCAACACCCCACAAAAATCTGTTTTGGGAGCAATGACGAAACCTGTGATCATTACTGGGTCATTGTATAATGTTCAAAGAGGATAAGATACCACTTCAGGCACCTATGTAAATATTCCTAGAGGGCAAATATGTAGGTACAGGGGTGTGGAATTCCTATCGCCCGACGCAAAGGACATGCAGTTCTGGGTGGGTGTTTTTTTTTCAACATTTAGCCCTGCTTCGTCATGAGGGACATTGGACCCCCACTTTAGTCCTTGGACAAGTAGTTTTTTTATTTTCCACAACGAGGTATACACAGTGTGGCAAATAATTTGATCCCCTGCAGATTTGTAAGTTTGCCCACATACAAAGAAATGAAAAGGTCTATAATTTTTATCATGGGTGTATTTTAAAATGATAGACAGAATATCAACCAAAAAGTCAGAAATAAAACCACGATACAAAATGTTATAAATTGATGGAAGTTTTTAATGCTAAAACACACAATACTAAAAATGATCAGCAAGTCAAAATATTTACCATTTTGGATCGATATTCTTTTGGAAAACTTTTCACTGCAGTGCCAAATACCCGCCTTCCATTGATAAAACCTTTCATTATAAAATTAGTCACTGCAAAAAGGGAATAAAAGACACCAAAAAGAAAAATTAAGATTGTTTTCTGATGTAAACAGGCAAAATCACAAATCACAAAAACACAACTGTTAGCATAGAATCACAGTACTAACAAAAAAACAAAAAAAAAACATGGGACACAAGCACAATGAACTATATAGGATCAACAGATAATGTAGCATGTATTTATAAGAGTTGCTAAAGGTATATGCGGCATCACATGAATAAGGCCAGTGGTCAAGAATTAACATTGGCAAGGTCACTAGCAGTATAGTTTACACTAAGATGGTCAAAAGGTTTAAGTTAGAATGCCTAGACACGAATTGAACACAAACACACACGATACCTACTCTTTCTGGACAATCCAGCGCCCAGATTGTGATTTAGGTCAAAAGGATCTATATTTGAAAACAGAAAACAAAAGTTAGTAAGCTAGTACAAGGGTTATTTATTTTACTATATTTAAAGCAAAACTCCAGTCAAAACCCTTTTTAATTTTGAATTGAGGGAAAGTATTTCAACATCCATTTTTGGCTGGAGTATAATAGGCTTACTAGTTTAAATGGTAGTCAATTTGTTTACCTGTAATACGAGATGGATGAATGGAGTCCTAGACAAAGCAGCAGCTTGAGCCTCCCCACCAGCCGTTTAAATTGACATAGATAAGAACTACAATAGGAACAGAGAAGCATAGTATTTCCACAATTCCTCATTTGTCGGTACTGGCATGGTCCCATCCAACACTAACCGCCTACTAGGATTGAGCTCATTTTCGGACCAAACCAGAGATCCTCCGAACACGGAAGGAGCTCCTCTGAACATGAAAGAAAGCTCATTTTGCTGCCGCCCGATCAGCTGCAGCCAGGGAATTACTTGCTCACAGCTGCAGTGACTATATAGCTATATTTGGTCAATGACAATTACCTAAAAAGGTCACATGGCCATAAAAGGTCAACGACATCAGCTCAAGCATCCCCACCTCTGTATGCAGCTGTGGGGCTGGAAAATACCCCAGTGTGCAGCTGACTGGGCGTGCGGCTCATGGCACTTCTGCTTTCGGAGGACCTTAGGTGCGGACCTACTGCCTACAAGTGCATCTTCCCTTGGGATAGCACAGTTGGTTAAAGCTAAGCACCTCACGGTCAAAATAGATTACTTCTATAGATTGTAGCTGGGCCCCTTTGACATCCACCAAGTCCTGGGCTCCTGCCTAGGTATCCTTGTGAATAATGCAGCTCTCTCCGTTATCCTGACCAACAAAGCGCTCTCTCTTTCCTCAGCTTCTGTGTTTTACTACAACTATGAAATGGGATTGTAGTGTTCACCTGCAGCTGGTGAAAATCCATCATCATGGCTCCCGCAGCCAGATTCAATAAGGCTAGATAAGTTACATTGGCCCGAGACAAAGAAGCCCTCCAACTTTAAATATAAAGTGGTAAGAAGCACACAAGAAACAATTCTTCAATGTAGAAACTCCATGTAATTGTTTATATATGAAGAAAAAATAGCCAAGCTTTGGAACAGTTTTTACCTTCTATGACTATGTATTTGGAAGTCCACTGCTTTTTAAAAGTGGTGAGCAAGCTTTTTCTTCTGATAGAAATGACATGTTCTTTAAAATCAAAATCTTCTGTATAAAAACGAAGAAGCCCCAGCCATAGTTCACCAGGAGACTCCTTATTTTTTCCATAATCTGGCCAGTGTTTTGACTTAAATAAATAAAGAAAAATGCATTAATAACACTTAATACTTTTATTAAAAATAAAAGTACATTTCTGTAAAATGCATAGTAGGTGAGATGTTAATAGTGGTCCCTCCACCATTCCCAGGTACTGGGTGGGCTATTTGGTGAAGGTGTCATCTTCCCTGCTCCAAGAGCAGTGAGCCCATGCAAAGTGCAACTCCATCCAGCTTGGAAAGGAGAACATTACTGGCACCAAGGGAACAAGTTCACTTTAGCAGATGTGGCAAGCCTGTCAATTTTGGGAATTCTCTTCTCAGCCGTAAATGACTAGAACTGCAGCTGCATGTCATAGTTACATAGTATTTGAGGTTGAATAAAGACATTAGTCCATCAAGTCCAACCTATTAGGATCTCATTCTAGGAGTACCTGTACCCCTGTATATTACGGTCCCTTAAGAAATCGTCCAAAAGTTTCTTGAACAATTCCACATTCTTTGCTGAAATCACTGTCTGTGGCAGTGAGTTCCAGACCCTAACTGATCTTACTGTGAAGAACCCCCTTCGCCCCTTGTGCTGGAATTTTTTTTCCACCAATTTTAGGTGGTGGCCTCTAGTTTTTGTAATGGAGTTAATTTTAAACAGTTTATCGCTAATGTTGCTGTGTATACACTTTGAAGTAGCAGTATGTAGTGTGTTTTTAAAACAATCCCACATCTGGTCTGTGTTTAGGTTTTGAAATAAGTTTTCCCATTTTTTTTTCCCCCACTAGGTTGCGCAGCTTATCAAAGTTGGCCCTTCTGAAGTTTAGGGTTCTAGTCCTTCCAGTACACTTCCCTTTTCTGTGTTCAATATTAAAAGTAATCACATTGTGATCACTATTACCCAATGACTCCCCAATTACAATATCCTCGATTAACTCTGCATTATTAGTGACAATTAGATCTAAGATGGCATTTTTTCTGGTAGGAGTCTCCACGATCTGGTCCATGAAATTGTCGCGCAACATGTTTAGAAATCGCCCCGCCTTTGTCTTGCCCCCACTGCTGCAAAACTGGAGCAGCCAAAGCCACTACCTCTTTATGTAGCACACTACAGACACACACTTCGAGTCTGGTCTCTCCCTCCTGCTCTTGAGCCATGGGCTACTCTTCACGTCTCATCTGCACCCACTCCCTCTATACTCCTAATTTGCACTTGCTCTTTTGTCTACTGCTTTTCTTTAAATGCACGGAAGTTGCCACTCCCAGCCTCAATTTAATTTTGTGCCCATGGTCTACTCTCCTCCCATCTGCCCCTCTGTGACCATTCTGCAATCTTAGTCATCAGTTTCTTCTGCAGAGGCTTTGCTCTCCACTCATTTATCCTCTATACCCACTCTATTGTTTCTCCTCATCACCTTTTATTTTTACATTTGTTTGCGGACAAAATGACTACACTCTAGAACAGGCCTCAAAATTTCCACTCGCCCCCTCGCAATTGGCGAGTGAAAATTGCGGGGGGGCGAGTGGAATGTCAGCAATGTTGCCTCGCCGGCGGGACTAGGGATGGGACACTACCGCCGCGGAGATCGCTCGCTCACTTCTGTTTTCTCTTTCTCGCCTGCTACAGCTACAGAGCGGCCAAGCCCAAGAAGGAGAAGAGAGAACAGAAGCGAGCGAGTGCCGCGGCGGTAGTGTCCCATCCAGAGCCGGAGCTAGCTCTCTGCGCTCACTCTTTCATCCCGGCAGCTTCAGCTCCACTCAGAGAGGCGGCTCTGATTACACCCGTTATCGCTCCCTCTCTCTCTCCTTCTGGCCACTCTGAAGCTGCAGCGGCCGGGAGCAGAGAGAGGGAACGCTGACAGGTGTGATCGTAGCCGCCTCTGAGTGCCCGTTTCCTGGAGCGGTCGGGAGAAGAGAGAGGGATCGTTCAGCGGTGTGATTCTGAGCATTCTTAAAAGAGCCCCCCCTCCCAGTCCACATCTTGTGGACGTTATTAATCTGAGTTGCCCCACTCAGTATGCCCCTCGCTTGCGGCCATATTGAGTGGGGCACTCATATTAAATAACGTGCTGGATTAGTCTGACCCGGGGGTGGACTGGCTTTATATAACATTGCTGACCTCTGTACTGCGCGTCACCTTGCTGACCTCTGTACTGCGCGTCACATTGCTGGCCTCTGCACTGCGCATTGTTACTGATCTTTATACCCTGCGTCACACCGCTGACCTGGCGGAGTTAAGTTCGGGGCAGGGTAGGGGTTAGGTGGGGCAACTGGTGGCGAGTAACTTTTCAGGCCTGGCTAGTAGCTTAGGACTTGAAATTTTGAGCCCTGCTCTAGAAGATACAAAAACTTTCAAAAAACACATTTCCTAACAATCATACTTCCTGGGGAAATAAAATAAAACAATAAAGAGCACAGCTCACTGACTTCAACTCTTACCAATTCATCCAATTTGTCAAAGAAGTACACATTCCAGCCATCAACAAGTATTTCAGGCCTATGGGCATCTATGTAAATCTAGAAAACAAAATAGGTTAAAAAAAAAAAAAAAAGTGAAAGTTAAACTAAGTTCTTTCAAGTCTAGACAGAAGGTCAAAACATGGGGCATTAAAATACCCGTGAATTGTTTCTTCTAGGTTATGGCATCATCTGTACATTCTATTTAAAAACAGAACTGTGGCCAGGCCATCAACATTTAGAAATTTACATATTCTTAGCAAGTAGTTGAGAGGAACTTTACCTATATCTTCAAAACAACAAAGGCACTCTTAGAAATGTTTATTAATGACAACCTATAAAAACACAGATACTGCTAGATAATTGCGGGCTTTTTATTTTTTGCATACTTTATTTTCCTTTCTTTCCCAGTCTTCTGACAGTGGCCATTTTATTTAAGGGCAGGTTACTAGATCTCCCTTTACTTTGTGGAACTCTGGCACATGCGACTACAATATGTGACCATGCACATCTCAGGGGAGGAAAATGCCTTTCCTTGAGATTACATGATTAGATAAAGACCATCAATTTAAAAGGACATAACGCCCCCTCCCACCTGGGCGAGTACTCATACTCGCCCAAATGCTCCCAATGCCTATACCGATACCGGGACTTGGTAACGAGGAAGCATGGGAGCGTGTAATGACTCGCTGCCTGGCTTCCTGATTGTCCAGAAAGCCGGCTCCATGCTTCATCATCTGGTGATGAGGGAGCATAGAGATGGCTTCAGGGCTAATCGGGAAATCCGGGTGGCAAGCCATTACACGCCACTCTGCTTCCTTAAATGGAACTTCTGGTATCTGTGCATCCCTATTAAAAATATGTATATAAAAAATCAGAATCAGTTTTGTAGCTGCAGAATATGCAGTTAGGTCTGTGCAACCGTTAGAGGGCCCATTAAATGTTTAATCAAGGATGATCTAGTGAAAGGCGTGTTTTGCCATGATTAATACGGTTTAATCCTTTCGCTGCCAAGGCCTTTTTGTACATGTTGTAATGCACATTTTCGGCCTGAAAATTGCTTAAACCCCCCAAACATTTTCTGAAAGCAAAGACCCTGTAGAATAAAATGGCGGAAGCTGCAAAGGTTTATGTCGTACGATATTAGCACAACTTATCAAACCCAAAAACTTTGTAAAGAAAAGGTTTGTGCCCAAGAACACAATACTTTTTTTGTAAAATAAAAGGTGGAGGTTACGACAAGTAAAATAGATATCCAACATGCCCAGGTTAAAAATTGCGTGCGCCCATGAAACAGCAACAAAATAAAGTACCCCGAATTTTCCTTAGGCAACGCTTTAAAAGCCCTACAGGTCATCAGTTTAGAGATCTCCATGAATATTGCCACTAGAATTATTGCTCACTCGCAAATCGGCAATACCCAACACGTGTAGCACGATCATAGTTTTCATACGTAGGTGCATCCTACATTAATATGCGCGATCACAGGGGCCGGGAACTTTATTTTAACATTTATTTTACTTAATCGCTATCATGATAGCACATTGGAGGTGACAGGTACTCTTTAAAAAGGTGACTCTAGGGGTCTAAGAGACCTAGTGTCATCTTTCCACTCCAATCGAGCTCCAATAGCTTATTACCCGGCTTCTGTAGCCAAGCAATGACAGCTAAGGGACCAGAAGTGATGCAATCAGCGGTTCCTTTAAGTGGTGAGGAGATCAGTGAACTTGTGTTTGCCGGTCTCTTCTGCGGCTTTCAGCCGACACGCTGGTCCTGCAGTATGGGCAGTGGAGCCTGGCAAGCAAGGCAGCAGTGGTGGGTGAGGGAATGAGGAGGTTGGTGCACTTCACTGGCCCCTGGAAGTGATCTGGCAACAGCTGAGCCGCAAGATTCGCTTCCACTGTAAAGTCAACAGTCTGCTTTACAAATGTAGACTGAGGCTATAGCTTCCGGGGCCCACTGCCACTTATAAGACATGTCCGTGGAAGCAAAAGAGTTAAATGTCACTGCGGTTTGCAAAACTCATCAACACAGCCATTTATGTTTTTCTGAGCACCCCCGTGACAGCTTTATTACATGTTGATCTCTCTTCTCCCACCTCCAACACCCAACTCCCCCCCCACTTTATTTCACATGCTAAGCTGTCCAGCAAACCCCCATTGGGAGATACCCTTAAAAGCAGTACTAAAGGCTCATTAGAGGAAAAAAAACAAACAAAAAAAAACGACACAACACACCCCACGCTGTTGCCGTTATCTGCGTGTCCAGCCAAGATTAGATTACCTAATACACAGGTCGACAATGCTGCAATATTAATGTGGAATGAAAAGCGGTCAGGATGTCCAAGAATAGAAGATCTACTGGCAGGATCAACAGGTAATATGTTACAGGGATTTTGAAAAACAGACTTGTGTGTTAATGCTAGTGATAGGCTGCATCATACATGTCATTTTTGTTTTGTACATAAAGTTACACTTTAAACGCAGCATGATAAATATCAAAATCATAGTTTCCTAATTTTGGAAAAAACATGGCCATGGGCCGCTCTCTTGCCCCAGGCAATAGGACAGACATTTCTTTACTAGAATGTATAAGCTGCCTTACCTCTTGGAGGACAGGGATAACAGGTGGATCCCTTTGCTGAAGGAAGTATAGCACCATAAGAGTATACGCGTATGAAGACAGACTGCCTCTGGAAGCATCTCCTATGTCACATACCTTTACAGAAAACAAGAATTTAGAAGATGGGTCCCATACATCAACCACTTTATGTTTGAACAATTAAAAGTAGGGGTGTACCTTGGTGAACACCTTCATGATGTAACAAAGGTATTTTACTCTTGGATCTATAGCGGCATATGATGCCAAAAGCCTAGTGTTATGTAGAGCCTAGGAAAGAAGAGGACATGTTTTCCCATTTATTACAACCTCACATTCAGTGCATATGTTACAAAGGTAACTGAAGGTACAGGTGTAAAAATATTTTGTATACTCACCAGTGTGTTATATAAACTGATGTCTCCTTCAAGTCCACTTCTTACATGGAAGAATTTTACAATTGGCACCTTTGCTGTGGTAATAGGAAGGATATTCCTCAAACCTACACAAATAAAGAAAAATGATATATTTTACTAATCTGTTTCAATTAGCAAAATCCTTAATATAAATCTCTGTGAACTACCAACATACAAAAGCACTTCTACTAGGAATCCCCACATATATATCAATATCATTGATATCTGAAGGTAAAGATCTTTTGAGAGATGTAGTTCTGGGGGCATTTGTGTCAATTAGAACAGACCACCCAGCAGCTGCCCCTGCTAGAATTTTGTAAGCTTAGTGATGATGATGACATATGGAGTAATACAGGCTTTTTTCAGTACAGAAACAAGGTAAAAGAAACAGTGCTGGGGCATGCTCTAGAGCAGTGCTTCTTAAAGTGTGGGTCGCGACCCCATATGGGGTCCCACAAGTGAACAGGGGGGGGGTCGCGATCCGAGTCCCCGGCCAGGACAGCCATCAGGGGGGTATGGCCGGTACTTGTGAGGCGGCCGGGGAGGTCTGGGCTCCAAGCTAGATTGTTTTATTTCAGTTTAATGCATAATTTGCAGTGTAGTTTTTTTCCAACCAACCAACGTTGGGGTCCCTTCTTAAAAATTTCCTCGGCCAAAAAGGGGTCACAAGTGGAGAAAGTTTAATAAGGCCTGCTCTAGAGAGGAAAACAGGTTTATGATACTTCCGTAGAAATGTACCTTGATGTTTTCGAAGATGTCTTGCCAATTCTTCAATCGTCCTTATTGAATCCAAAGTCTATAAAAAGAAAAAAAACAAACCACAAAACATTTACTAAAAAATATATTAGCCAACAAACAAGTAAATTATACAGACCATACAATACTGTATGAACCAACCAAAGTAAAAAGTGCATGCAAGGTTACCTCAGCCGTTTCAAGCCCATCAAATGTCAGACAGATATCCAGATCACTTTCTATGAACCCAAAGCCATTTTTTGAGGAACCAAACAAGTTAAGCCTTGCTCCTGTGTGATACAAAAAGGAGAATATAAAAACTATGTTGAACGTTTACACAGCTCTTGAAATAATCATCTGTATATAAAAATTGCTTTACACTACTTTTTCTACCTTGTTGGCAAAAAGCAAAAACACTTAGGGACCTCTTCATATTTTCAAAGTAGCATATTAGCACATGTATGTTCATTGTATTAAGGCAGCTCATTTATTTAGAATGGTCTGCCAACGCACCATAAACAAAAGAACATCTATGCAGCATTTTTCTTTTTCTAGCAGCCTATCAAACCCATGGCATGTGCAACTTACCACTTGAAGACCAGGTGTTTAGACCCCCTTCCTGACCAGGCCATTTTTCAGTGTTCAGCGCTGCGGTACTTTGACTGACGTTTATTCTGTCATGCAACGCTGTACTGAAATGAATTTTATACCATTTTTTGGGGACAGATAGAGCTTTATTTTGGTAGTATTTAATCACCACTGGGGTTTTATTTTTTACTATAATTAGGAAAAATTTAGGGCTGCAACAACTAAATCGACATAATCGATTATAGAAAAAGTTGTCAACTTTTTCAATCATCAATTAATCGGCTTCTGGTTAGTTGGCCCTGTTCACGGCTCCACACACACTGCGCGCCGCACCTCCTCCCCACCTCACGCTCGCCGCTGCCAGACCCGCCCGCATCCACACGCTGCCGCACCTCTTCCCCGCCTCACGCTCACCGCTCTTCCACATCCACGATCGGCACAGGGACGGGGGGAGAAGTAGTAAGGAGGAGCAGGCGTGGGGGGATGACAATCGCAGATAGACAGGCCCTATCTCAGAAGCAAGTTGCTGGAAGACTGCTCAGGTAAGCCTGCGTCCCCCCGTCCCCCCGGAATACCACCAGCTATAGGAGTACAACAAATCCCAGCAATAGTACATTATACAGCGCAATGCCGAATACCGCCAGCTATAATGTACTATTGCTGGGATTTGTTGTATTACTCTATAGCCGGTGCCATTCTGCATTCATTGCTATATACATTTTACACTTTTCATTTCACTATATTGCACACCACACTTTTTTTTTTTCTTTACTTCCACCGCTCCAAGCTTGCTCCTGTGATGGACTACAATCTCAATACAAACTAGTAGTCCCATCACTGGAGCCATTTTTTAAAATGTATTTTATTTTTTATCCGATTAATTGAACTCAATAATCGGCTAACTAATATTTGAAAATAATAGTTAGCTGCAGCTCTGGAAAAATTACAGAAGATTTTGAAAAAAAAGTTTTTTTTACATTATGTTCGGAAACATTTATTACCCAGTTTTTTGGTAAAATATAAAAGTCGGGGTCACATCGGGTAAATAGACACCAAACATGTCAAGCTTTAAAATTGCGCGCACCCGCGACATCACAGAAAACTACCATACCCAAAATTGGCCATTGGCAACACTTTAAAAGCTTTTACCGTTCATCAGTTTAGTGTTCAGTGATTGATGGCCCTAGAATTATTGCTCTCACTCCGACGTTCGCGGCTATATGTAACATGTGCGGCATAATCGTCTTTTCTGCACGTATGCGCCCCCGACGCATGTCTGCATGCATGTATGTATGGGTGGGGACTTTAAAAAAAAATTTTTAAATTCTTTTTTATGTGTAACTTAAAATTGGGGGGGGGGCGCTTTAATTTTTTTTTTCACTAAACTTTATTGCCATCACATACGGGGGCTAATAAAACCCCCCTATGTGATAGCAAAATATGTGACAGGTCCTCTTTATGGAGACATCAGGGGTCTCCAAGACCCCTAATGTCACCTAGGAACCCCACAAAGAAGACGATGAAGCACAGATCTGCTCCATCAGCTTCTTTGCAGCTTCTGAAGCTGGAGAGTGACACAAGAATGCGGAAGTGATGTATTATACAACAACACTTCCGCATTCTTGCAGAGGAAAAGGGACCGGAGCGAGCTGATCCCCCGTTACACAGGCATGGCGCTGATCCCGGGATCAGCGGGACAATGGCGGGGGGGGCAGCGGGGGGGGGGGGGGGGGGCAGCGGAGGGGGGGGCCCGCACCGATCATTGCAAAATACAAGCGATCCGCCGGCTCTACAGCCGGCGGAACGCTTGTATGTTAACAGGCATCGCTGTCTGTTTTTACATTTCGGCCATTTCCCACCCGCGAGGGGGCGTGTCTGAGCGGACGTCTAAAGACGCCCGCTCAGATCTACAAAGCTCCCGGCCGGCTGTTTTTTACTACGGCCGGCCCGGAGGCAGTTAATTGCAGTGCAGTGTGGGTATATTACCACCTTCTGTAGTGGTGCAGTGGGAAGCCATTCTAAATAGTGCAAATTAGAAGCAGTGCCATGAAATGATCACGCATAAAGAGAATGTGCAGTAATTCATGCATTTTAATATGCATTAATAGGATGCAAAAAAGGTATGAAGTCAGCCTTTGGGTAGTACAACTTTTTTTCTATTCCGTTCGGTACCACGGAGGTACCAAGCACAAAAGCCGAGCGGCATTCGGCTATTCACTCACTGCCATTAGGCCCCTATGAGAATAGGCCAAAACGGCAGTGAGTAGCCTGCTGGAGGTTCGGCTCAGCCGAACATGTTCGCCTGAACCGAAGCAAACCATACAAGCCTGAAGTGAAGAGCCGAACGGCGTTTGGGTCAGTTATTCACTCGGCTGCCTTCCGCAGCTTTGTGAATAGCCCTCTAAATCTGAGATAACGTGGGACTCAAGTCACAGAAGGCTGGTTTACCCCCAAATTCATGCCACTAAAATGGAGCTTAAAGCTTTTTGCCCCCTTCCCTGACCTAAACAATCCCAACCTCACTCAGGGATGCATGGGGATCTAAATGGGCACAGTTTCACTGTTTACATCCAGCATTGCAATGCTCCTCTGTTGGCTGAAACAGCACATTACAGCCTCATAGACCTTTATGGGGCCAGTCTGCCAGCTGGGAGAAAGCCAGGAGAGGCAGACTTTGCAGCTCTGAAAGATAACAGAAGAGCTGCAGCCCTCCGATCTCGGCAAATAAAAAATCGGCAGAGGGTGAGGGTGGGATTGCTTAGGTCAGGGAAGTAGGGGGCAAAAAGAATTGGTAAACTTTTTCTTTAGAGTCAGTTACCCATTTTACCCTGAAATGCAACTACAATAAAAAAGCCATGCAATTTATGACACTTTACTTGTAGAGAGCGCCTATTTACTTTGAACTTAACATCCCTACAAAACAGGCTCCAGAGATCATGCACATCATGAATTTCAACTCTAAGCTTGTAGAAAGTAGCAATATATGAAACCTACACTACAAAGCTTATAGGACAGCCTCAACATTTGACCTGCAATTCAAAAAACTGTACACTAAGCATTCCGATTTACCAGGAAATTTTCACTACATTAAAGTAGGGATGTCCCGATACTGGTACTAGCATCGGTATCAGGACCGATACAGGGCATTTTGACAAGTACTTGATCTTAAATTAAGCTGGCCGGCACCTCTTGGCCAGCTAAATTAGGACCCCACCTGGAGCTTCTCCCACCGGACCAGCGCTGACTCGTCGCTGCTCTCCCGCACAGTGAGTGAGTGCAGGGGGTGGGACTATTAAGCAGGGGATGTAAATCTATGGTCTCCAGTGTATTAGCAGTCTGTACTCTATATGTACTACATATACTTATGTAGTACATATAGAGTACAGACTGCTAATACACTGGAGATCATCGATTTACAATTCTCCTCTGCTAACATGAATGGATTAAATGATCCATATGTAGCCCTGTACTATGGATCATTTAACCCATTCATGTTCGCAGAGGATAATTGTAAATCTACATGTACTATATATAGAATGCACTGCAACAATAGATTTACAATTATCCAATGCTAACATGAATAGGTTAAAATGAATAGGTTAAAATGATCCGTAGTACATAATAGTACATAACATGTAGTTGTACTACGGATCATTTAACCCATTCATGTTAGCAGTGAAAGAATTGTAACTTTATTGCTGCAGTGCATTCTATATATAGTACATGTACAGATTCCCAATTCACTGCAGCAATAGATTTACAATGATCCCCTGCTAACATGAATGGGTTAAATGATCCGTAGAACTACATGTTATCTACCATTATGTACTATGGATCATGATTTAACCTATTCATGTTAGCAGGGCAGAGTTGCGAGCGCCTCCCACAAGCTGAGCACCGAGACGCGATACAGCGATCCTGCCCAGCGCCGACTACAAGAGGCACCTCGTGAGGCAACAGGGATCGGATTTAAACTGTGAGTAAGGGAAGCTGGGACGGGGCTGGCTGTAACTCTATTGCTATAGTGTACTGGACGTGTGTAATGCATATGTAGAACATATATACAGCACACACCTCCACTACACTACAGCAATAGATTTACAATTCTCCCCTGCAAACATGAATAGGTTAAATCATGATCCATAGTATATAACATGTAGTTGTACTATGGATCATTTAAAGTCACCTATCCCTTTAAGAAATAGTATCTGTAATTGGTATCGGCAAGTACATGAGGTAAGACTTACTTGGTCCTGAAAAAGTGGAATCGGGACATCCCTACATTAAAGGAAATGTGCAATGAGACAACATGGGGGCTAACCTCTTTCTACAAATCCTAGCTGCCTGGCTGTCACGCTGATACAATGGTTTGTTTCACAGACCTTTTTGTTCCAGGTCAGTAACTTGAGTTTTTGAAGATACAGCCAGGCTGCTAGTAATTTGAATAGAATTCAGCAAATGTAGCCCTCATATTTCTGTCAGTCAGTGCAGGTTTCTTTTAAGCCTGTATAAGTGCTATGCAGACAGTTTGTATATTTACCCGGAAAATCACGTCTTACAAAATCTTCCAGATCCTGTCGTATATGTTCCCGAGCTTTACCCTCTAGTGCCGAGGGAGAAAAATCCGCTATGGGACAATAAAAATAATGGTAAGCAAGACGAGTATATTTAAACACTTTAAACTTTGTTAAAATAGTTGCTAACTTTTACTTGTATCGGTACATTTAGAATATTTCTACGGAGATTATTATGATGCTTTTTAATTTAAGTTGTATATCCTATTATTTTCTCACACAATTATAACTGGTACTAGCCAATATTAAAGAAAAAACAGCCATGAAGAGTTTAAACAAAAATCTCAATAGCCTCTCCAGTATAAACAAGGCTATTTATGAAACACATAGTTATGTCCCTATTCAGCTTTACTTTACTCTGTCTAAGCTGGGTATCCTCTGTAAAGAGACCAGAGGTCACCTGAAGTCTGAAAGTGTGAGGTCAGCTATAGTCATGGCTTCAACTGCCTGACTTCATGTATAGTCTGATCCTTGGACACTCACAGAAGTGAACAGCACATGACAAACATAATCATGACACGTGTTTTAACCAGTTCACATCCGCGGTGTTAAACCCCCTTCCCATGCAGGCCATTTTTCAGTATTCAGCGCTGCGGTACTTGACATTTATTCCGTCATGCAACGCTGTACTGAAATATATTTTATACCCTTTTTTGGGGACAGATAGAGCTTTCTTTTGGTGGTATTTAATTCACCACGGGGGTTTTATTTTTTACTATATTAAAGGAAAAATTACCGAAACAAAAAAAACAGTTTCCCCTATATTAAAATAAAACATTTATTATTACCCAATTTTTTGGTAAAATATAAAAGACGGGGTCCCGTCGGGTAAAAAAAGACACCAAAAATGTCAAGCCTTAAATTTGTGTGCGCGCGCGAAACCTCAAAAAACGATAATACCCAAAATTGGCCATAGGCGACGCTTTAAAAGCTGTTACCGCTCATCAGTTTAGTGTTATCAGTGATTGATGGCCCAAAAATGATTGCTCTCACTGCGACGTTCGCGGCGATATTTAACATGTGTAGCGCAATTGTCGTTTTTGCGCGCTGGGGCCCCGGGCGCGTATTTACGTTTATAGGTGCGTAAACGTGGGGGTGGGGGAGTTAAACATTTGGGGGTTTTTTTTTCACTTTAATATGTGACATGTATGTATATATATGTATATATGTGTATATATGTGTATATATGTGTGTATATGTGTGTAATATATATGTGTGTAGTGTGTGTGTATGTGTGTGTATGTGTATGTGTGTGTGTGTGTGTGTGTGTGTGTGTGTGTGTATGTGTATATATATATATATA